ATTTATCATTTCTCTGTCTTAGGAACATTCCAATTCCACTCTTTCATTTATTTTAAACTCTAACGTGTTGTTGATTATCGTCAGTTTGTTGTGTTATCAAATAGTGTTCATTCTATCTACCTGTCTAACTGTATTTTTGTACCCATTAACCATCCCCACTTTTCCCCCCCCGATCCCCACTAGCCTTCCCAGCCCTGGTAAGAGATCAGTTGTTTTTATTATTTAGCTCCCGCATATGAGTGAGAACATGTGAGATTTGTCTTTCCATGTTTGGCTTATTTCACTTAACGTTCTCCAGTTCTGCTAGAAAGTTGGTTTTAGTCACTGCAGGTCACACCTCCACTGCCTTCTCACCACATGAAAAGCCCTGAAACTGATAGAGGGATGGTCGTTTTTGGAAAACATGACCTTGGGGCTCTTGAGGACTGGAGTTCATGTCCATCCTGTGTGAGGCCATCCTTGAAGTCAGAAATTTTCCATTCTAAGCCATCGTTAGGGTTGTCTTCACTAAGAGGACATCTCTTTCCATGAACTTGGAAATGGGAATATTTGAAAAGATAGAGAGCTGCGTGTCGACCTCACTCTCACCATGTGACAGCTCTGGGGAAGCAAAGGCTAAAGGAAAATTGGTTTCCTCCTTATTTGTTTTTATTTTTTGTATTTTTTAGAGTCAGAGTTTTGCTCTGTCATGCAGGCTGGTGTGTAGCGGCATGATCATAGCTCACTGTAACTTCAAACTCCTGGGTTCGAGTGATCCTCTCACCTTAGCTTCTTGTGTAGCTAGGAGTTCAGGCACGCACCACCATACCTGCTAATTTTTTAAAACAATTTTTGTAGAGACTGGGGCATGCTATGTGGCCCAGGCTCGTCTTGAACTACTGGCCTCAAGTGATCCTCCTGCCTTCCAAAATGCTGGGATTACAGGCATGAGCCACTATGCCTGGCCAGTTTTCTCCTTATTGACATGCAGTGGAGCCCCTGTGAGCTCTAGGACACATGGCTGGCCCATCACTTTTTACTAGACCTAGGTCTGAGGCATTTTCAAGAGTGTTTTTACTTTGTCCTGAGCTGTCACACCTTCTGGGGCCACCAGAAATTCTTGATTTCTTTCATACACTGCTGGACAGACTTCTCTCATGTAGTTTTCCTGGGAGTAAATCTCGCTAAGCCTAGCGGGCCTTGTAGTCCACATTACTCATTGGAGAGGAGAGAGCATCTGTGTCCATTCTTCGCCCCTCCCTGAAATGGCCATTCCAAAGGAAGGTGAGTGTGTGCTTACTGGCAGATATCTGCCCCCAGTTTAACCCCAGTTTGGCTTGGGCTGGTCAGCAATTGGGCTGTTTGGTGACAGCACTTGCCCTCTGCTGTTCCCTGTGGCAGGTGGCTGTTTGCCTCCTGCAGGACCCAAAGCCTGGAGGCTTCATGCATTAGAACCCAGAGGACACAGGATGGAGTGGAAGCTTCACGAGAGCCAGATGCAAAATATGGGACTGTGTCCCACAAGAAGGCACTTATCTCAAGAAGTCTTTGATGAAGGCCACTCCAAAACCACCAGCCTGATCTACATGGAGAA